AGAACAGTAGCTCTCATGGTAGATGAAGATATGCAACACAAACAAAAGTTTCTGCTGATGAAACTGCATCGTTCGGAGATTTGGTTAGACTTAGACTTGGACTGTTCACCAAATAAACATACCTGCTGCTGATCAAAAACTCATCCATTAGTTCATTCGACAGCAAAACATCTTGTCTTTTCAATGAGAATTCTGTTCTGGTATGTAGCGGTTAATGTACTACCATACCTTTTTTGCTCGAAAAATTCTCGAAATTCTCTCTCTATGTGTATTTTTTGCCGTTTTCATATCACTAACGCGATCAAGATTTGGTGCAACATAGTCTTTCACATTATTCGAGAAAATTGCAACTTCACCTGACATAAAAACATCAATCATGGTCAAAACATAGGTACCTTTTTTCCTCGTGAGATGTTAAATTCATCGTACCAAAAAATCGTACCTCTGTGTATCATAATTCTAGGGGACTACTGAATCAGCTTGTTGAAAATCTAGATAGATGATGTTGGAATTAGGTACTTGGAAAAACCGTGGAACATGATGGGTAACGGGTAACTATTCCATCAATTTAACCTAACTGCAAAGGCATTAAATCTAAAAAATTTAGATTTGGAAACAGTTTAATACCAATATCCCAAGTCTCTGTTTGAGTCTCAGTTCAAGTATATCTGCTAGGCAACAGGCAACCAAAAACCGGAAATAATCAAAATTTTGAATCATTACCAGGTTCTGATATACAGGGTGTCCCACAATCAAAGTTACAGGCCATAACTTTCTTATTTTCAAAAATAAAAATTTGAAACGAAAAAAATTATTAATGGCTAATTAAGCTCTCTTCAAAAATATTAAAAAATCATCCCTTGAAAAAATCATCCCCTATTTACAACCCTTGACTTTTTTTTTCAAATGGCACCCCTATTATTTTTTTCTATTTTTGAGAAGCTTATGAAATTACAAATTTGTATGGTGTATAAAAAGTTTATTTTTCCATGTCTCTTGGGGGAAAAAAAATGGGTGTCCCACCCTTAGTCTTATACAAGCAATCACATTTTTGTCTACAAAAATAAAAATATGACAAAAAAATATTAATTGTGTGCAAATTAACCCCTTTTCAAGAATATTAAAAAAATCTTCCCTAACAAACTCATCCCCTAAAAACAACTCTTGCTTTTTTTTTCAAATAGAACCCTATTATTATTATTTTAATTTTTGATTTTTTTTTCCAACGAAACATGGAAAAACAAACTTTTCATACATCATTGAATTTGCAATTTCATGAACTTCTCAAAAAAAATAAAAAAATTAGGGGTGCCATTTGAAAAAAAAAGTCAAGGGTTGTAAATAGGGGATGATTTTTTAATATTTTTGAAGAGAGCTTAATTAGCCATTAATAATTTTTTTGTTTCAAATTTTTATTTTTGAAAATAAGAAAGTTATGGCCTGTAACGTTGATTGTGGGACACCCTGTATACTGGACACTTTGAGCCTAGGGTTCATAGCCTTTGGTTATCACTTATCCCAGGAAAAATCTGCAGCAATTCAAGAGTCAGCAATGAATCAAAATTTGGACTATTCCAGGCTCTTGATTTGCTGGAAATTTTTTCTAAAGGCATCTGAAAGCCTGGAATAAATCCAAATTTTGAATCATTACCAGGTTCTGATTTACTGGACACTTTGAGCCTAGGGTTCATAGCCTTTGGTTATCACTTATCCCATGAAAAATCTTCAGCAATTCAAGAGCTGGTAATGAATAAAAATTTGGACTATTCCAGGCTCTTGATTCGCTGGATATTTTTTTTGAAAGCATATAAAAGCCGAGAATAAATCCAAATTTCGAATCCTTACTAGGTTCTGATTTACTGCCTAATTTGATCAAAATTCAAAGTCAGAGATAAGAAGTTCTACTATTCTGTCATCAGCAATTGAACTCAGAACTGACAAATCTAGATTTTTAGAGTGTGTGATTCGAAGCAAAATTGAACATTGTCAATAGCATAGCAAGAAGTATTATTATGAAATTTAAAGTACAAAACTCAGTCAAATGCGAAAAATATAAAACTAACATTTCTCTTAAGTTTTAATATAATGCACTCTTCTTGTCCTTCTTCATTTTGCCTTGCTTTTTAAACCCATTTGCAAGACTTAAAAGTTTCCGAACTACTTCTCTCAAGCAGTTTCCTGCTCTCAAACCTAAAGAAAACTATTTTTCTGTTTGAACAAGCATCTGATTACAAAACTCTGCAACTCTTGAACTTAAGCAGCTCGAGTTCCTCTAAACATAATGAGCTTTTATATTTCAGAGTAAGTAAAAAATAAATGTACCAGCATCTCCCAAAACAATTACACATATGCAACTTTAAACGTTTTACTTTTTTCCTGAGTAAAAATTCTTTATGTTTCCCTAAGGTGTAACAACGTTTCATACGAAAACTCGCATGGGTGCGTTAATGACCATGCAATCCACGTTGCTATTATCTACACACTCACCCTCTAGGTGACGTGTTTTGACATACAGCACCCCTCCAAAAAGTGGTGTATGTTAATTTCTGATTCTAGATTAAACTTGTGGGGGTAATTACAACATAATTAAAGTCTGGTTTTAAGGATTTATTACGTTTTCTGGTTAAAATACGGCTGTGTTTTATATTCATATAGGGATGAGCTTTATTTTATAAAATGTTTGTATTTTGGATAATGCAATACAAATGAGGGTAATAGAATTGTTGAGCATCTTGTTATCTTATCTGGGTTTGCCCTAAAATGGCCATTAGTGTCAGTTGATGTTGTTTGATGAGAATGTGATGCAACAAGGAGGTGAAAACTTTGAATAGGTATATCAATCATTGTTGCAAATTGACTCGAATTTCTAATTGAAAATGTAGCAATGCCCTTTAATTTATGAATAAGGAGGAATAAGATGATAGTAGGTATGTTCCTACCTCGAAACTGCTGCCGGAGATTTCACATAGGAAATTTCATTGGTATTGTATGTACCTACTGAGGACAACCGCCTATTTGAAATATTATTTCTTCAAATCTTAAATCCTTAAAACGTTTACTAAATAGAAGTAAATGTTGCAACCATGTATGCGCTGTGAAGTTCAGGGAACGAGGATGCGCTACACGAAAAGGTACCGAAGGGTAGGTTGACAGAAAATGGGAGACCAAGAAGAAGCTTCTTCGCCATTGTTAATTATTCAATTTTTATTTTGTATTAAATTGATTGTTCAATCCAATTTGTGTGTCATAAGGAGTATTCACAGGTCACTTGAATAAATGTTAATTTGTTTTGAGACTTCAATTGATACAAGTATTATTTACTCATTTTTATGCTTGTTTCTTTGTTTATAACATTTTTTATAATATGTGCATTGTGCATGTATTTAACAATTGTTTCATGCTGTGAGCATCGCAGATTAAAAAGTAAATTAAAACTAAAGAAATTATATACTGTCTTTTGTAATGGGATTTTAATTTTTGGTATTCAGAGCGTACATACATTAGACCCTTGTTGAATCTACTAACACTTTCCTACCCTGACGAGTGAATATCCTGGCAAACAAATTGAGATATTGACTCAAAATAATAACTATAGCTGAGTAGCCTCCCGTAACCAGGGACCTCAGTACCTGCTGGTGGAATTGGCTAACTAATCAAAAACTCTTCAGTATTCAATATAGGTAGTGTTGATTGAATGAAGTGTGTGTAATTGAAATTCACGCACAAGAACAGGGATGGTAGGTACCTTATTTAAACTTTCATTGACTCACAATTAAAATATTATTAAAATGACACAGTATGTTTTGATTTTTGAGGAATGTTAGATCTAGGATTTCTCTGCCGTGCTTTTTCCAGGTGAATTCCAGGTCGAAAACGGTACGATTTCACGTTTCACAAATTTTTCGTTTATTTTACATATCACAACTTCCCACAAATTTCCCTAATATTATTGCTATTGTCGGGCGCATGTCAAGTGAGTCAAATATAGTAAGTTTCAACAACGTAGGTCCTATTTGTTTTTCATTTCGTTTTGCAGAAGATTTGTTAATAGAAGAGATAATAAAAATTCACACCGTTAAATCTTGCTGAATGAACCCGGGTATGTTATACTACACTACTTTTCTATTCCACCTAGGAACCGAGATCAGTAAGATAGCAGTGGCTCGAACAGCTATAGAAAGTTTCATGACGCCTCTAGACAAACTCGGAAAGTTTAATATAATAGTAGAAAAAATTAAGAAGATGACTGATGATAAAAAGCGTCACTGCGCCAGACTTGTCTGAACAGGTAACAGGTTCATTTGGGAAATATCGTTTATTTGTCCCATTGAGGTAGGTTTGTCTCAATAACAAGTTTGTCCTGCCATCGAAATTGATGTTATGTGATTTGTGACGTCTATGTGTATAGTCCTTCAAACGCTTTGTTTGTCTTCCAATCGAAAGTGAGGTTATGTGTGTGACGTCAGCTAGTAGGTACCTAATTACCTTTCATACCAACAATATCGTTTCCTAGAAATCATTAAATTCGATTAATACCATAAACAATACAATTAAAAATCACTTTACTTAAGTATAATCAAATAAAACATTTCGAAAATACCCAAAACCATGCATGTAATCACAATTTTATGTAGGTACCTACCTACAAACTTACTCATCACATCAGCTTCTTTGTATTTGTAATAGCGCGTATCGATCATAATTGCCCCAGAGAAGAATCGATGATTAAGAGGTTGAGATTTTCAAGAAGCAGTTGAAGAAACTGATGAGTCACTTGTTGGTCGCTTATAAAAATATTGAAGAAGAATTTTATTGAGTGTTCAAGTCGACATTCTTATTATGACAGGTTCTGACTTTAGGTCATCAATAATATATTTACCTACCTGGAGTAGGTTTTTTAATTTTTCAATGATCCATTTGAATTTGTCTTAGCGCCAATAAGAGGATATGATTGACTTTAACTATAATGTGAACTAATTTTTGTTTATTTCTTGTTTCAGGAGGACTTCGTAGATGTAACACTGGCCTGTGACGGTTGTTCGTTTACAGCGCACAAAGTGGTGCTGTCAGCATGCAGTCCCTATTTTAGGAGACTGCTCAAAGCCAACCCTTGCACGCATCCGATAGTTATTCTCAGGGACGTGCAACACAAAGACATGGAAAGTTTACTAAGGTCAGTATATTGTTAATTATAAAAGTATAGATTATTGCCAATCAATTTTAGCACCTATAAACAGATTAAGATACACATAAAAGTTTCTTTTTTTGGTTAAATGTTAATTAATTCAAGATTAAAATCAAGCAGTGACAAGTAGTATACTTTCGTTACTGAAAGGCTTGAGCTGTTACAAGACTTTTGTTGTAACAGATGCTTTTAAATGTCGAGCAGCTATAATATTTGCTATTATTTTGAAATACTTACACCTCACGACGGCTTTCATTGGGATGGGTAATTAACTATGTATATTTTAAGACAAGAGATAATTAAAACTTGTCAAGAGAATAGTTGTAAGATGTTCTAGTCCTCACGGAGTTATTTCTATATTATGTGCGAGTTATTATTACTTTTGACTTGTTGAAATCAGGAATTAGGATCAAATATGCAACCAATGGAAGTTCTTCTAGTCTTCGAACAGCTGTTGATAAAAAAAACTTCACGTTGTCTAAGTTTTGTGAAATAGGTACCATGGGACATAAATAAAGATGTTAAGTAGTAACTCCATACAAAAATATCATGACTGATATCTATGGTTTGAAATGAAATTTCATTAAAAATATTGTCTTAATTACAAATGACACAGATCTAATTAAACACACGTGCACCGTGTAAAATAGGATTCTACGCGCCAGGGATTAGAAGGAACCTGAAACTATTCTCGTAACAAATTTTAATTATCTATGTGCGCTTTGTCTTGGGGGCATCCGAAATATATCACTTCGAGCGGCCATATTTGAAGCAGCCAGTTTTACAGTTTATTAATTTGAAAATGTTCGGGTGTTTGTTTTTAAGCCGATGATTGATAAGTGGTCCGTTTTTCGTGTTGCACGACGGATTCAATTATTTATTTAGAATTAACGGGGCTTCCATTACCATAAGCTATGAGAAAGGTGCAAATAGATTCAATAGAAAAAAATACTATAGTTCTGATTTTTTAATTATCTTTGCAGGTTTATGTATAATGGAGAAGTACACGTAGGACAAGAACACCTGACGGATTTTTTAAAGACTGCACAAATGTTACAAGTTAGGGGACTGGCTGACGTACCTGCGGGAGCAGCCGGGCAAAGACTGACTACCACAACAACAACCACTACCTCTGAGCAAAAGATCTCACCGGTAAGAACTTATATGATCTTTAACGCAATCACAAGTACCTACCGACCCTTCTTTTCTTGCGTCTATACCTCAGTTGTAAAATCATCTATCATAATAAAAGAGTTGTACATCTTTCAATGCTTTCTTCATATTGTGGCTTTGATCTTGGATAGTTTCCATGCTACGTCTCGAAGTTTACAAGATATCATGTCGACCTGACTTTATAGCCAAAACGAAGAAGTTAAAGTGTTGGTTTTCAGTCTTCAGATAATTTTTTATCAGACACAGTTTCTATATCTTATCTTTGTCTGTAGCATCATTTTTACGACTGTCTTCAAAATGACGGAACTGCAGTTTTACTGGAATTTGTTCTTGCATATTGACTTAAATAGCTCGACAATATGGTACCTATAGTCGTTGATAGTCTTTTTAATTCCTAATTAGAAGTACCAGCCATTCTAGTGACTTAAGGTATGCCGCTTCTTGAAGACACAAATAAAATTAGGTAAGGAATGTCCTATATATACAGGGTGGCCCGTTTATTTTGTCCCATCTTGGTAATCGGTATATGGAAATCTAGATTGAGCATATACAGGGGGTGTCAAAAAATGTGACACATCAGATTTTTTATTTTTTTTTTCAAACTCGGAACTCGGGCTCCAAAAATTAACATGAGTAAAATTAATTATATAGACAGAACCAGGCTACTAGACACATAGGCTTAAATAGGACCAGTTGACAGATGCCCATTTCACGCTGATAGATCATTGATCTCCACTGCATATTATTAAAATTCGTGCACCTTTAGCAGCTCGACTATGCTCGGCTTCGGCAACACCATTGGCGTAGCCAGGATTTTGTCTTTTGGGTGAGGGGGTCAAATTTGCAGGAAGTGATCCTTGCACCTTCGCCGCAAGCGCCACCGGAGGCAAAGCGCCGCAGGCGCGAAATTTTTCGGTCTTTTTACGATTATTGGTGGGGGCAAGCGGAGATGCGGCCATAAATTTTATTAAGAATTTATGGCCGTAGAACGTTATCTATATTATATTATATGTATGTATTTGATTATTTACCTAGGACTTAAATTGATTTTTTTGTTTATTTTAATTTTGAATTATTAATAACATTTAAAGGCGTGGGAGAAGGGGGCAAATGCCCATTTGTCCCCCCTCCCTGGCTACGCCAGTGGGCAGCAGTGATTCAATTCGCCTTAACCGGGTACAAGCTAATTCGTCTTATTACTCCCTATGTGTCTTGCAGGTTGTTCCGGTCTGTATATAATTTTTTCATGATAAACTAGGTGAAAAAAGCCCAGTGTATTGGTACATCATGATATATTCATGTGATGTGAACATACCTATCATTAAAACAAACGGAAAGAAAATAATAATCCAACAACTTATTGAAAATACAGGCTTAAATACTACACAACAAAGTATTCAAACTGTTTGTTAAGGTAGATATAGTAAAACAACAAAAACATAATACAAACAAGTTTGATATACAAATAAATAGTTAGGAACTCAATATTTTTGAACCTACCTACTCCCACCCACTACATACAATACCAAAGTCACTATGGGGGCTCAAGCGCCCCCATGGTCTCGGCGCCTATGGATTTGGATAATTTCAATTTGATGGTTACTTTAAATGAACGTTAGTACTCAAAAGAAATCGATGGTTTCTATAAGATGATAGTGGTACATCAGAGTCGATACTAATGTCAGCTCTTTCTAGCAAATCGGTTGATACAACATTGGAAAACTTTTCTATATTTTTACTTGAGCCAATTTTTCCCAGTTTGCTTTCAATTGCCCAGGACTTCATCATCGATGAGCTTTATTCGTTTCCGAATATATGTATACAATACAGAGCGGAGTGCTTTATCTTCTGTGATTTCTTGTATGGTTGAACATTGCAATACTTGAAGAAATGACTCTGCCACAGTCTGGGCATTCGAAAACTTCTTCAGCTGGATTCGACGTGGTCTATTTTCTGCCGTGTATAGTTGGCAACCACATCTCTCCATATCTTGCTGCCCTGAGCTCGTTCTTCCCAGTTGTTTTGAAGATTTTCAGCTTTCAAAGTATCGTGTAACACGTTTTTATGCTGCTTCAGCTAACCACCTTGTTTCCGGCGCCCTTCAACCAACTCTTTGTACAAAACGCATTTGGCTAAACGGTTTTCTGGTATACAAGCAGCATGTCCGGCCCAACAAAGTCTAGCCTGTGTGTTTTGATATGTCTTTTATAAGGTATCCACGTCACACAGCTGTGAGTGATGCTGGTATTATTGTAGCTCGATAGACATTAACTTTGGTACCTAAAAGATCGCGGTTGTCGGATACTCTGGCTCTTAGTCTCCAGAATGGTGCAGTGGCGTTATTGATACGATGTTCGATTCCTTCGTTGATGTTTCCGGTAGTATTGACGATCCCTCCAAGGTACTTAAAATGGTTGACATATTCTACTTGGTGTCCTTGAATGTGAATTTCAGCCTGCTCTGCTGTGGCTCGGGTCGTCATTATTTTTGTTTTGTTTATGTTTACCTTGAGTCCAATAGGATTTTAGGATCGTCTGCAGTTTTTCAGCTGAGAGAGCTACCAGATAACAATCGTCGGAATATTGCAGATCAGTCATTATAGCCTCAAATATCATTTATTAGGGCCCCATCTGCCAGTTTAAGCCCACCGATCAAAGCGGTTTACCGGTGTGTGGCCGGTGTCATGTATTAACACCTACTTGGAGCTACTGGCCGGAGCTTGTGGTTGTCTCGAGGACCAATAGCTGCAAGCAGAAGTGACCGCACCATGTATTCATTCTAACCAGAATAGATTCGACACATCTTTAGGTGCAGTAGCCTCTTTATAAGTGCTTTCTGAATAGATTCTTCCTCCAGAGAGAAGGTTCTCTAGCAATAAAAACGGAAAAAATATTATCGAGAAGATTAGGGGTTGGACCAAATACGTGTCGAGAAAAATACGGTTTGGGTTATTTTCAGGCGTTTCACTTTGGGAATGTTGTGTTCTATAGTCAAGACCAATACATTCCCTCCATGATTTGAGCCTTGTAAAGAAGAAGTTGTACAGAAGTAAAGAAGTTTTTTGCACGAAACAAAAAACCTAATTCTTGAGAAGCCGTTTTGGAGATCGAAGATACATGGTCATGCCAAAAAAAATTGTTCCATGCGGTCACGCCAAGAAGAGATACTAAAGGGTTGATGGGAAAGTTTTGTCCCGATATCCGTAAAACTGGGTTTTCATCGGTGGAAGATTTCTTACTTGAGAATACTTTTGCTTGATATTTTGAAGAATTGACACCCGGCCGTTTTTGTTGGCGGGACATTTTATACAATTGAAATTGGTTTGGTCTTCTCTGTAGAAGGGCTGCCCCGGGCATTGTTGGATTCAAAGGGTAGAGATCCCTTTGCCTACCAACTAAAAAACTTTCCTCTTCTTTCGCAGGTTTCTCTCTCATTCCTGAAATCGTTTTTCAGCATCACCTCAGGGGGAGCTGCGTAAATTACGTATTAGTCATGTGTAGTCATTGTTGGTGTCGTTTACATTTCTTAATTGTATGTGTTTTCTTCTATTGTCTTCACTCGTCGGCTGATCATTTTGTGGGTGATGTTTTGGGGTGTGATCGTCCCTTTCTCCGCAGTAGATACATCCATTATCCGTGCTTTTGTTGATGATATATGTGTAGTCTCTGAAACAGCCGTATACCGTTAACATCTACGTTAAGCCGTGCGCCCTATTTCTCCATGTGGCTGAATTTGGAATTAGTTTGTAGGTCCATCTGCCCATCTTTTCGTTTTTCCATCTATTTTGCCATTCTTGCACTAAATTGATTCTGTTCTGCTCGTAATGCCTTTCTCTTCCCTCGCTTCCGATATGTCTAGTATGGCTTGTTTCACTAGGAAGTCTATCGGTTGTGTTCCTGCGATGACCAGTACTGCTTCTGTTAACGTTGTGCGGTAGACGCAGCATATTCTCAGAGCTGCATTTCTCTGGATGTTTTCCAGCCAGCTCCGGTATTTCCTGTATTTCATGGCTTCACCCCAAAAATCGATCTGGACACAGAGCATATTAGCTTTCTTTTGCCTGGGTATGGCCCTCCCACATTGGACATTAATTTAGCCAGGGCTTTTATGGCGTTTGCTGCTCTGGGCGCAGTTTTCTTCAGGTGGGTTGCAAACGTTAGCTTGTTATCTAGCCATGCTCCCAGGTTTTTAATGTCTGGGGTTGCAGATATCGTCTTTCCCCATAGGTTAAACGTTCTATTGGGGACCACCTTTTTATTGGTTATTATTGATGCCTCTGTTTTTTCTTCTGCTAGTTCCAGTTGATTCTCCTGTAGCCACGACATAATTCTGGTATTGCCATTTGTAGCTCTTCTTCCATCTGATCCAAGTCTTTGCCCAGAACTGTTAGTGCACAATATCGTCCGCGTATCCTATCAGTCTTGCGCCCTTTGGTAGTTTCAGTTTTAAGAGTCCGTTATACATGATGTTCCACAGGGTAGATCCGAGTACGGAACCCTGTGAAACTCCGCAGGTCATGTCAAAAGTTTCACCTGGATCAGGTTTACAATATATGGAGCTGCTCCCCCTTTTTCTTATTTTTCCTTCTATTATTTTCCACGATGCTGAGTTAAATGCATTTTTAATATCTAGGGTAATCAGTACTCCTATTAGTCTATATGTCTGTGGGATTTTTTTGATATGGCGGTTTTGATTGGGTCAATTACTCTTTAGATGGCCATGACCGTAAATCTTCCTTTTCTAAACCCATATTATCGTTCAGATAGAGTTTCCAGTACATCTGGTGGAATGTTATCCATACCTGAGTGCTTATTCTTGAAACTGGGGAGCAGCGTTCCCAGGAGAACGAGTGTTTCGTCTTTGGTACTTTTTATCGTTATTGCATATCAATGAGAAGGACGGAATACTCGTTCTCCTGGGAACGCTGCTCCCTTGTTTCAAAAATAAGGACCCTGGGGCCTTGTATGGCTTAAGCTTGG